TTTAGGAGAAAAACTGGTATATTCTTCTGTCTACCAAGCAGACAATGGGCCTTCTGGAACAACTGAAAAACAAAACAAGGAGGAAACACTAACATTTTGGCTGCACCCAATGCCTAAAGCAAGCTGTGGGCCATGTTGAAATGGGATTTTACAGAATTTGTTCCCAACACAGTTTGCAGCAGTTGTCAGAATAAACTTTGAGGAACACATAGTAGGCTCATTTAGATGCACTAGCACAGCAAGGAATCTTTGTCTTATTTTAACAAATGGGGAAAAAAAAAAAAAAAAGAAAAAAGAAAGTAGGTTTTCTGAGTATGTTTCAAAAGCTAGAGGTGTTAAATTGAGACTTTTTTAAAAAGTCACTACCATAAGACTAACACCAGGTTCCTCATCCTTCAAATATCAGTGTAGATCTACAAAGTGCTCATTTCTAAAAGAAGAGGTGGGGAATTTTAAATGACATCTTAAATGCACAGCTAAAAAGAAGATACTGAGATACTGCAGAGTAGTGCTATCTAAAAACAATAACTGCTAGTGTCCATAAAGTGCCAGTTTTCAGCAAGGGAATGACTGTGCTTTATCAGGAATGGTCGGTCATGCTGCCATTAAGGTCATACCTGAACATCTCACAATGCAATCGACCCAAGAAGCCATTTGCAAACCCTGTGCTGCTTGAAGGACACACAGGAATCAATAACTTCAGGTTTCTATTCTGAATTATTCATTCAGTCTTTGCACAACAGAAAGCTGTTCTCTCTCTAATGCACTATCACTGCAGTACAGTACATGATTTTGAACACTGAGCTTTAAAACAATAGTTTTAAAAGCATTTTGTCCTGCTACTTATAAATGCTTCTTGCTCATAAGACCTTCAAAAATTACTTTTGGAACAACTAATGACTGTGCAGGGATGCTGCCCATTCCTCCTATCAGCAGCATGCTTCTCCCAAGGTCCAGTCACTCAAGGGTCCCAAAAGCCAACCCACCCTGTCAGTGCCATGAACAGGGCAGCTCTCCCTCTCCAGGGAGCTGCTCAGGCACCCAGAGGCCCATATGGCTGCTAGAAGGTCAGCCAAGAGGCTCTCTACAACCTTTTCCTCCATGAGAAAGATGATATTTCCCTTAGTAGGAAGATACCTGGGTGTTCACCATACCACTAGCCAGTTTTTGGTTGCCGTGCCTTCAGTCCTAATTTCTGGTAAAGAAACTTAGAATATTTCAAAACAACCCATTTAATTTGTCAGGACTAAGATCTGGCACTACAAAATTATTTTTAAATTGATTTCAGAAAGGAATTGAACAACAAAGAAGAATTTGCTTGCTTTTACTCCTTTTTCATCATCAACTTCTTTCATTTTCTGACTTTTATCTCATCTTCCACCTGTATTTCAAACCAGCCTCACTCTTTCCTTAAATTTTGGGGGTTGGGATTCAAAGGATGTCAGGAAGAATTTCTGGGCTTTCCTGGAAGCTGGATTTCTCTTTAGGTGATTTAGAACTATGCAACCACTACACTAAATCCCTTGCTACCACAAATGTACCTTTTCTTGTCACATCAAGGATTACTTACTGCTCTAGCAAGTACTAGAATTTAACATCTTATTTTGGCAGCAGAAAAGTGAAATGCTTGCTGGAAGCAGAGGGCAGTTCAGAGAAGAGAGGAGACCTCTACCCCATCACCACACTACTTTGGCATGTGAGTTTCTCCCTGGAAGCTCATACCACAGCAGTAGAAGAGTCTAAAGTCCAATATCTCACCTCTCCAGCCCGTATGTCAATAAGACACAAAAGATAACATTTAAACTGGAGCCCCACATCAGACAGTAAACAGTAGCCTTAGCAAGGCCAACGCTCTAATCAGTCCTCAGAAAATCTGTTATCAATTCAAAAGAAAAACTTCAGCATTTAAAAAATGTAGTGACCGTCCACTTCATCTTAAACTGTGGAATTCAAAGATTTAACAGCCGAATTTTGCACATAATACATTAGGCACTTGTCTCTAAAACTATGTATATCAAAATAATTAGCACTAAATATTTCTGCAATGACTATGTTTCTAGTTTAGCAAAGCACACAACATGCTTTACTAATCAACTAAGCTGTCAAGAGACTAATCTTACACACTGAATTTTAAATACTACACACTTACAGGCTTTGAATCCAATGCAACTAGAGATAGGCAATGGAGAGCAGAATGGTAAATATTTACAAGTTACTCAGTGAATCAAAGACAGATCAATTACAAGAGTGACAGTAGGCTCCTATGCCAACCCCCAAAGAATTATGGTAACTAGTAAAAGCACCATTTCTGCTGACCTAGAAAAAAAACTCTTGAATACACCTCTATAAAGGCACAAAGGTCTGGTATTTTCCCTAGGAGTGCAGGAGAATAGAAGGTCAATTAAAATGAGTGAGGAAAGAACTAAAAAAGCAGGGAAAACATAAAAGGAGATGAGAAAAGAAAAATAGAGAAAACAAAAAAACAAGTAGGGGACAGAGAAAAGAAACAGGGAAAAGAGAGACAAAATAAGAAAGAAAACAGATGAAATTAAAATGTGATCCATCCCCATACCCATAGCAGGGTCCTGTCCACATATATGGTCTGGTGTTTGCCATGATCTCTCATAACTTCCACGATCACCTTCATCTTTTCTGCTTCTTGTTGAACCCTACACAGCATCAGATAAAAGCACACCGACCTTTTTCGATCAGTAAAACAAAAGCACTTCTGAGACACAATTCACTTCCCCTTAGGGAGATGCCTTATGGGTAGACATCTATAAGGGCTTGTTCCCTCTGCTACCTACTAAAGAAGCCCGGGTAACCAGCTCAGATAAAGCTACTGAGATGCCTGAAATGAGACAATTCCCACCTTCATTTGTGCGCAACGAGTTATGCGCAGTGAATGGGCAAACATGAGTTGCATGTTTTGTACTAAATCCAAGGTACATGAAAACTAGGGCTCAACTTCAACTTAATGCATTTACCAGGACAGGTCCAGTATCTCTGCTAGAAATCCACTCATTTATTGTGCTCTTTTTTCTACATTCCCTCCATTATATAATATTTTCTAAATACACCTTTGTGTCTTGAGAGAAAGCATCTGAAAGTTTTTTAATTTCCATCCAAGTCACTGTTCTAGAAACAATGCTCTAAGAACAGAAATTTGACAACTGTATCACCAACTGCTTTCAAACTATTTCCAGAAGATAAAGCTGAGTTGCTACATAAATTCCAAGTTAATGGAAGAGCTATAGTCAAACTATATTTGTGTAAGTTAACGACCCTTTACTTGAATTCTAAAGTGAGCAATCCAAGATGAAAATCAGTGCCAGCAATACACACAGACACACATTATCTATCTGTATCTATACCTCTGCAATCACCCACAGTGAGAACTACCTGAAAATGAAGGCCTAAGGCCACTGACATTGGCAAGCAAGGCAACAGGATTTAGTGTGAGCTCTTTACTCTGATTTTCTTAGGGGTTTAGAGTCTAAATCTTTTTTAAGCTATTCCCAAGAGGTTTACAGTATGGAAATCATGACTGTGCATGTTTCAGAAGGGTGTAAAACAATGGTATATAGAAATATCGTTATCAGTACACTGCTCTTCTGTAAAAATATGCACTGCTTTTAACTTGCATTAAAGCATTGCTCTCCAAAAATCTTCAGACAGGCTTTTCCCCATCCCACAGATGCATTTTTAAAATGCATCTTTAATATATAAAAAGATTAGTAGCCTCTACAAACATGACAATAATTACCCTCAGTTAGAAGAATAAATGCCTGATGGCTAATTTGGATATTGCATTTTACTGCCAGGTACTGGCAACCTTCCTGGATGTTTTTTTCTTTAAATCTAATTTGTTTGAAGTACTGGACAATGGATACATTTCTTACACCATAAACAGGAGGCAAAATTCAGAAAGGGAAGGCTGCAGACCTGCCTTTTGTCTTTTCTCATTAGCAAGTAGAAGACTTCTACAAGGACATGGGGCCACTTCGATGTTTCAGGATTACAATGAGGAGGTATCTGCATAGAAAGGGTCCTTGGAGCAGCTGTTTCTATACAGCATGTTTCCTTTGGGTCTATCAAACCCACAAAGGAAAATCTACTGATATGAGCCATCCTGTGACTGCAGACTCACCCTGCTCACAGAAAGGTGGTATGCTACTGCTCTAAATACAAATGCAAGGAGATCTTTCTAACAGTGTCTGAACATTGTACTCATTAACTAAATCTCAATTCTGACAGTTTGCAGATACGTTTTTATTTAATGTGACTCTTACATGAATTCAACCTCGGAATTGGGGGGCATATCAAAGCAAGTTATGTTAAATAATCATACAATCTGTTTCTCCAAAGAAATGTCTGGGCTAGACAGTTGGCACTGAAACAGCAGATTAAATTTAGAACTGAAGGGCCATACAGTGAAGGTGAATTCAGTTTTTAGTTATCTGTCAACTAAAAGCTGTACATGTTGTTAAAATAATGTGCTTTGTCCCTGAAACAAAGTTCACTGCTATTCAAAAGAAAGATATTGAAATGTGAGTTTTGTCTCTAGAAAGCTTCTATTTCTAATCCACAAATACCATACTGATGCCATAGGATGATCTGGACCTCTCTTTCTCAAGGTCATTTCCCCTTCCACAACATGGTACTTAAAATACTCTTTTTTTTCATTTGCCTTAACTATGGTACTACAGCCATGACATACTAATTCCAGAAAACAGTCAAGCCTTATAGAAAGACATCATATTTCTTAAACTTCGACTCATTTTAATTTCAAGTTCAAATGTTCAATTAGATCACCTTGGGACATTAGACAACAGCATTTCAACTCCCCCATGATTCTTCAAAGACAAAGTACATGCATAAACCTCACAATTTGAGATCTTCCTTATATGTAACACAGCTGCATCCTGACACCAAACGTAGTAAAAGACACAATTGCTGCTATAGTAATCAGTCATCCAGACATGACACATATAACTGACCTTCATGAGATGCTGATTTATCCATTTTGTGAACGTCTTCTTTTGTACTTTGTCCCGCTCATCTAGAAGTAAAAAGGAAAAAGAAAAGGGTTTAACAGCTCTACAAGTGATGCAGAAGATTTTTTTTATTAAGAGATTTATAAAATTAATATTCTAGTAAATTTATAAAATTTAAATTTTCAAAAGCTCCAAAATGTCTAATCAAAATAACAGCACATAAAAGTTTTTGCAGTACATCACAGCATGTAATGAAAAAGTTTCTTGCAGCTCCAGCTGAGTTCCTTCAGGATAACGGCCCCACAGGTACAACAGCAGCACTACTAATAAAAATATAACTTCCTAGGAGAAGTCAACCATCACTAAAATTGTACTTAAAAAGTCATGGCAAACTTTTAAGAGCTATAAATACTACTCATAGCCTCTACAATCAATTAATTACTAAAGTATTAGGCAATGGAAAATCTCTTATCACATGAAAGCTAACTTTTTTAATCACCACGCTTTTCAACTGGAATATCCCTTGTTCCAACACACAGGGATGAGTTACAGCTTCAGTCAGAGAAAGTACCCTTCTTTAATTCTCTTTAAAATCAACAGGGATGTCCACTAATCCAGATATGGGACCCAGCCACTTTCAGCAGTTTGCTCCCTGGCATGGTAGTTAGCATCAATGATTGCCCACAAAACAGTGGGGAGATATAACAGAAGTAATAGACTCAGGGTAAGAAAGTATCCCACTTACGGATAGGAAGCATATACATGAATTCTACTCAGAGGAAAACTAACCACCACAAGATTTATCTCCAGCAACCTATGTAGGGTCATGAGCCAGTACAACTGCTACAGAGCCTGCTCACAGTCCCAGAGCTACCCAGAGCAGGAGTCACAGGGCATTAGGACCAGGACCATCTGTGCAAGCCTAAAATAGCAAGATTCCTTCTGACCCCGTACAACACAACTGCAGCTGTTTCATTGACTCAGGCTATTTGCAGTGTGGCTGAGAATGAGCAGTGAGCTCAGGTAGCAAAACAAGACCTCTCTGCATCCATTGCCATCACTAGAAGACTGATTCAGGTCTTGGATTTTACATTTTAAAATATTGTTTTCAGGTTAGTCAAAGATAACAATAAATAAAAATAAATTGACTGAAAGTCTTTCAAGTACTTTCAAGTTTCTGGTGTGATACTGAGGTCTTTCAAAACAGCATGACATCATACAAGAGTACATGTTGGGTCGAACTGAGCACTGCATGCTGTTCCTAGCAGAGTGAGAAATTACTTTTGGGGAATAAGTGCAAAAACAAGACAAGTAAAAGCCTGTGAAGCCTTTGTATAGTCCTCTCTTATATGACTCACAGACTTTTTACATGCTCATACATATCTTTGCATTTAAGAGCCATAGATGCACTTTTTCCTGTTATTTTTTCCAATTCTTTTTTAACACACCTATCACTTTGATAGCCACAGCTTACTGTGACAATGAGATCTTCAGGCAGTATGTGTAGTTGTATATTTGGCTCTGTACAGAATAGTTGCTGTTTCCTAAACCCCTTTTCCACACCACTCAAGATCTAAGCTACTGGCATATGATTTTTTCCCCACTTCACAGCTCTACACTCTCTTATTCTACTTGAAGACTCAAAAAAGAGGAGAAATAGAAAAACTAAAGAGCAAAGCCGCACTACTGGGAAAAAAAAATAGCAGATTAAGAGAATTTTTTGCTATAGACACTTCCCTATAGCCTTCATCTAGCAAGACACCATTTCTGACATCAGTTATTTATCTTAATAAAGTGGAAGTTCTGATTTAGTAGATATAGAGAACAGAAAATCTCAGAAATAAGAGAAATCTAGAAACACTTTCACTTTTAACTGTTCCATTATGAGCAGCTCTTGTAAAAGGAACACAAGGTTTCTCAGCTGCAAAATTTCACAATGTGTACAATGTGTCTTTTCTCCTAAGGTAACCTCATCTAGTTTTGATCACACAGAAGTTTACATTTTGGGAAATGTTACTGTGACAACAGTTAAAAAAAAAAAGTTGAAAAAAATCCACTTGTATTTTGTTAAGACTATGGAGTCACTATTAGTTTCAACACTATTTTCAATTAAAATGCCAACATTCATAAAACAAGTGATACTTACTACTCTTGTTCCTTTTATACATACATATGTATTACACAAACACTCACAGGAAAAATTCTGTGACTGACAGACACGAATGTGCCATGAGGAGGAAAGCTGACACCTGTCATGTTGTGAAAAACACCAGAAGTAAAGGAAGGAAAGAAAGTCACCAAAACAGAATCACAGAGTATTCTGAGTTAGAAAGGACCCACAAGGATCATCGAGTTGAACCCTTAAGCGAATGGCCCATACAGGGGATTGAACCCATAACCTTGTCATAGCTAGCACCAAGTTTTAATCGATTTAGCTGATCTCTGTCACACCACACTGTGATTTTTATCAAAAAACCAAATGCTTCCAGAAAGGTAAAAGTATACTAAGAGGAAAATACAGTGCAACAGTATTCAGTGCGTTCCAGCTCAGAGCAGAACACACCAAATCAAACTCCCCAAATGAAGTAAAAACCAGGGAAATTACTAAAAAAATTAACACTAACTAAGGAAAGAAACCCTCAAAAAGCCCCTTAAGAGAAGTTTACCCCCAGAGAGCTCTGCCCTGTCCCACAGACAGCCCTGCCGCCCTGCCAGCCCAGCTCCGGGCTGCATTACTGACCCATGCAGCACATGACTTCCACCAGCCTGGCACTCTGGTCCTTTTCATCTTCATCAGACTGTCTCATTGCCACCTCCAAAAGTTCAGAGCTTCTTCTCTTTTCAGGGCAAAGGAGAGCCAAGGAGTGACCAGGACTTCTAGCTGACACAAAGTAGCAACACCCCTTTTTAAAAAAAAAACCAGAAGCAAACAGCCCATGTGCTGTCAGAGCAAGCAAAACTGCAAGCCCTCTGGCTTTAACTCAAATAAGAAATAAATTAAGCATCTGCATTTGTTTGTTTTGAACTTTCAGATGCATTAATACACATTTGAGTGCAAATGCTGAGCTTTCCAAACCAGGAAGTCTCTTTTTAATTCTACCAGCAGTGAACAGCAAGGAAAGAGCGTCACCATGAACGCAGCAGCAGGAGTGCTGTTTAAGCCGAGGTAATTTAAGAATGCAGGTAAAGCAGGAGTTGCAGAAAGAAAGGACATCTTCCTACATGATCTGTTATGTAGATCATCACAATAAACCCTCAGTAGTTAATTAATCAACTTAAGTTTGTCTGCTTTTACCTATTATTGTAGACATTAATGTGATGTATCAGACAAACTCAAAGTCTCCTGTACTTTATGTGCCTGGAAAGTGCCTCAACAAAATGTCTCCAGTCTGAAACTGACAACCTACTTCATGAACCTATACTACAATACAGAAGCATCTGAAGAGGCTCCAGATTAGAGTATCTGCACTTAGAAAACAGTTGCTGCAACTAAGGTCTCTTGCTCTGTGTTCTTTCATTCCTCAATCCCAGGCACAAATTCAGGGGCCAGGTCCTTCTAATACCAATATGAATCTCTATCACTTACACGGTTCACAGTGTCTGGAAATCAGGACAGTTTCTCTGGAAGAGAAACAGAACTATACCAAAGGTGACATATGGCATTGATGTCTCTTCAGTGGTCTCCTAGGGAGAATAACAAACCCACTGAGGCTGGAAAAGATCTTTAAGATCATCAAGAGCAACAGTTAACAAACAACTAAATCATGTCCCTAAGTGCCACATCTTCATGTCTTTTAAATACCTCCAAGGATGGTAACTCAATTATTTCCCTGGGCAGCCTGTTCCAATGTTTGACAACTGTTCTGTGAAGAAATTCCTCCTACGTCCAACATGAATCTCCCCAGGCCATTTCCTCTTGCTCTGTGACTTGCTACTTCGGAGAAGAGGCCAACACTCGCCTCACTACAACCTCCTTTCATGTCGTTGTAGAGAGCAACAAGGTCTCCCCTTAGGCTCCTTTTCTCCAGGCTAAACAACCCCAGCTCCTTCAGCCGTTCCTCATCAGACTTGTGCTCCAGACCCTTCACCAGCTCCATTACCCTTCTCTGGACACACTCCAGAACCTCAATGTCTTTCTTGTAGTGCAGGGCCCAGAAACAGACACAGGATTCAAGGTGCAACCTCACCATTCGCAAGTCCAGAGGGACAATCACTTCCCCTGTCCTGCTGGTTGCATTATTTCTGATACAAGCCAAGATACCACTGACTTTCTTGGTCACCTGGGCACACTGCTGGCTCATGCTCAGTCCCTGTGGATCAGCACACGCAGGTCCTTTTCCACCAGGCAGCTTTCCAGCCACTCTGCCCCCAGCCTGTAGTGTTGCATGGGGTTGCTGTGACTCGTGCAGAAGCCACTGAGTGCTCCTCTCTACCTGAAGGCATACTGAAATCTTCTCTGAGCAATCACAGCAGATGCCACCAGCTTGCATGAGCAAGCTTGTCTCCACTTCTCTCCACACCAACATAAAAAGATGCAAAATAAGCGCAGCAATACAAACTCCTCAGTTTCCAGATGAGCTGCAAATTTCTACGCTTCTTTCTCTGATATTTTCACCATTATAATGAAGTCTGGAATTCCTACACCTAGTGACAGACTTACCAAAAAAAAAAAAAAAAATCTCCTTTTCTTCGTCAGCTTCTAGTGTTGCTGGTATGTTTGCTTCTCTGCTGATACTTGTTTGCCTGCATGAATGGCCAGATAGTCAACAGGTTTTTCTACTTTTGTCCAGGTATTTACAAAAGCCCTGAAAGGTATTTTTCCTATGTTTATATAAGAAAGTTCATATAATACTCATAAAACTCACTAATTTTTACATTCACGTATAAATGCACTATTTTTCTGCACAAATTGTTGCTATAATACCTATTTATATTAAACTCAAAAAACTGTGTTAAAAGAACATTATTAGGGTTGCAAAGGGAAGTGCTCAAAAGTAGAGTTATAACGAACTAAAACTGGCTGTGAAACCTTAATACAACCTTCTTAGTAATATACATTATATTT